ATGTGTGTACCAGCTTTTTTTTCTTTTTCTTTTTCGTCTCCCCTATTCCCTGGTCTCACGTAGACGCTCCTTCCTTCCGTAGGGACCTCTCCCAATATTGCCCGTAATGCTATTGTGAACTGTGCTGAATTGGTGACCTACGACCTAATCAAGGATGCCCTCCTGAAAGCCAACCTCATGACAGGTGAGTTAGGGTAAACGGTTCTGGGTCTCACCCTTCCCCCAGCCCAGGATCAGATGTGGCAATCTGGTTGCCCGAAAGCCACATCTTTTCATCCTGTTTCTTCTTGGCTTGTAGAATGAGGTCCTCTCACTAGCATATTGAAGCCAAGTGGAATGAAGTTCCCACTTTGCACACTGAGGCTTTGAGGCCAGGCGGGCAAAATGACTTTTAGCTTCTCAGGAGGGGTCCCAGTTGAAGTCTGTCTCTCTAAAATCACAAGACCCCAGCTACTTACTTAAATAACCTCTTTCCTTCTGGAATGATGGGGCGAGGAGTTCTGACCCCCTTGCCTGCTCCTCCTCCTCAACAGATGACCTTCCTTGCCACTTCACTTCTGCCTTCGGGGCAGGTTTCTGCACCACCATCATTGCCTCCCCTGTCGACGTAGTCAAGACGAGATATATGAACTCTGCCCTTGGCCAGTACAGCAGCGCTGGCCAATGTGCCCTCACCATGCTCCAGAAGGAGGGTCCCCGAGCCTTCTACAAAGGGTGAGTCTGTGATCCACCCCACCCAATTGCAGGCCTCCTATTACACCTGGAACTGAGTAGCAACCAGTATCAAACTTTCTGATCACGGTCCTGGTATTTCATCGGCATTCTTTCGTGCTCATAACTCCTTCCTCTCAGAGTTGCTGTCTGCTTTGTGGGTATTTAAATGGAGACTCCCAGGGCATTCTTGCTACAGCTACACAGCTGTGAGGCCCTGGGCCCTCCCAACCTCCTTTGGGACAAAGCACTGGGTTGGATTGGATGCCAGGGCCCAGTGGGGTGAGCAGGAGGTGGAAGTGTCCCCTGTGACCTGTGTTTTCTCCCTTCTAGGTTCATGCCTTCCTTCCTCCGTTTGGGTTCCTGGAACGTGGTGATGTTTGTCACCTATGAGCAGCTGAAACGGGCCCTCATGGCTGCCTGCACTTCCCGGGAGGCTCCCTTTTGAGCCTCTCCTGCTGCCATCCTGACCACCTCTGGCTTGGCTTCAGCTCTAGCCAGGCCCTCCTTTTCCTCCTCCCCTCCTTCCCTTCCCTCACTCCCTACCCTTTCCTCCCATTTCTACCATCTCCCTTCCCTCTCCCCACATTTTTACCTCTCCTCCCTACCTCATCTCCCCATTGCCTCTCAGTCCTGGTGGAATTGACCCCAATTGTCACCAACCAGGATCCCAAGCCCCTCAGACCCTTGAGAAGTTCAGCCCATCTCTTTATCTTGTTCCCAACCTAAGCCAGCACGTCATCCATAAAACAAGCTCAATCTTGGTGTCTCCTCCCTCTCTTATAGCTGTTAGCAGAGGTCTTAGTTTGATGGGCCCTTTGTGACCTGGTGTCAGTGGGGAAGCCACCCTAACTTGAAAGGGGTGGTGTAACCCACTTTCCACCTCCAGTATCCAATCTGGGGCCCATGGACGTCATCTAGTCTGTTTCTCTTTCCAGAACAGGCCTGGTGTTGAGGTAGCAAGAGAAGGAGTGGTGGCTGCTGTCACCAGCTCCTTGAGCTTTCTCCCAGTGCTTGGTACTCCATTTGCCTTTCTCGCCCCTCAGCTGGCCCCAGGCCTGCTGATCCGCAAAATGAGTGTTCCTGTCTGCTCTGCATCTCCTGTGCTTCTTGGAAGATTTAGAGGAACTTGGGAATCAGATGCTGTGGGCTTACTTTATTCCATTTTATAAATGGGAAACCGACCTCCCCAAAGTCCCAGACCTAGTGAGGGCGAGTTGGGCTGCCTCCCATCCTCCAGGTTCCCATCCTTGGGAGACAGTGTTGCTGCTCTGGGGGGGCAGGCCGCCGGGCAGACATCTGGCCTCAGCCTGAGGGTACTCTACACTTGGAGTCTCACCCTCTTCCTGGGCTAGAGATCCCAAGGAAGCAATGACAAGCCCTGGCTTAGCTGCATTGGGGTTGACACATTTCTGTCCCTCTTCCTACCACCTGTCCTCAGGCAGGAAAGCAGGTGGGCAGGTCTACTTTTGTTTCAAGGGGTCAGGGACTGAGGTCCTAAAATCTCAAATATCTCATGCAGGGCTGAGCCTTTAGAATTAAGCCCACCAGACCCATCATAGATGTCTGAAGAATCTGAGGGCTGAGACAGGTCATGCCGGCAAGGACACAGGACCTCAGCAGCTGATCTTGGACTCCTCCCTCCCCCGTGGACACCTGTTGGGTAGCTGTGGAGCCAGGTTGAGAGAACGTGACCCTCCTCACAGCCTAAAACAGCTGATGCTGCTGCTCTTCCACTGGAGGCGAGGCTTTCAGCACCTGGGCAAGCAGTTCAGGATATTAAACAGGTTCCTGGAGAAGGAAGAAGGGCCCAGCTTCTGACAAACTAACCCAAGGTGTCAGTCCCCAAGAGGGACAGCAAGGTGCCATGAGTGCCCGGCAACTCAGCCAAGCTTTTCTCTATGGGGCTACAGGCGGTCAGTGTAAATGGAGGCCCCTGGCAATATGTCTTCGGCACCTTGTCACTGTTTTACACCAGAGGACCTGAGGGGCAATTTGTCACCCTAGGCATGTCAGCTGGTTCATTTCAGCAGGCTCGTGTCATGTTTCACCATGGTTCCGGATATGATCCAGGGGCGATGAGCTGGGAAAGGTGGTAGGAGCCACTGGACAGCGTACCACCACTAGGCCTCTAACTGGTCCTCAGTCCTTAATGCCTATAAAATGGGTGTGTGATAGGTCCTGCTTTGCCTAGCTCACAAGGTATCAATTGGAGATTGATAGAGTGGACCCAGGTTTTGAGTAGGGCATGGCATTATCTCCTTACATCCTTTCTTGGCTGAAAAACAAGATCTTCCTTCAGAGTCTCACCCTGGGGAAGAGAGAGCAGGCTTTCCAGCTGGCCTGGCGGAGACCTGGAGTGCTGGAATATCCCAGTGCAGGCCCACATGTCCTAACCTAGTCACTGTTCTCAGAACAGGGCTGCTACCACCACTCAATCGCTCAGGTTGTGCTTCAGAGTTCATACTTGGTTTCACCTGGTTTGCACAAGGACTGCAAGATAAGGGTTGTAATCTTTGTAGGAATCAGATTTCAGAGAAGGGAAGAGGTTTACCTAAGGGCACAGCTGGTAAGCAGCACATCTGAGGTATTTCTGACTCCAAAGCCATGGTTATGCAGAGGTATCCCCTAAACCCCAGGTCCAGATCCTACACCTTGGGCTGCTGCTGCCCTTCGCTGGTAGGTTACAAATGGCTGACTAGTGCTGCTGACTCCCCATTGGAGGAAGAGCCTTAAGCTAATGATGATGCTTTGAATGGTAGGATCCAAACAATGTCCGAGCCCTTTCTGCCACCTCTAAAGTCTTCACAAAAGTGGCCACTTACCCTGTCATAAAATTGGACCTATCCCAGCCCAAGCCTAGACTTGGCACAGAAGAGGTGCCCACCTCACTGACTGATGAAGGCAGACGGGGAGGCAGGTGTAGTCTGCACAGGCTCGGCCGGATCTGGAGGCTGGCACTCCTGCAGGCCACCTGGACAGCAGTGCTGGGCCTGAAATAAGTTCACCAAGCACTTCCACACAATGACCTGGTCCTCACAAACAGCTGAGGAAGGGTCTCCAAGGCCACCATGCCTAGAGGCAGCCCAGGACCCACTCGCTGCTCAGGCCAGGGATAGAAAACAGCCATTTCCAGCGCTTGTGTCCTTTGTGCCGCCTCTCTGGGCAGGGTGAGTCTGTGGGATGTGGCCTTTGAGGTTCTGATGACAGCTGTGCCACTGCCCTGAGACAAGTGTTTTCTTGTACTTCAGTTTTCCCGAGTACAATGTGACCTTATCACACTAGAGACTTGAGCCCTTTTTAAAGACCATATGTCCTGAGAAATCAGCAGAGCTGGGGACCCTCAGGCTACCTAGCACTGCCCCAGGCTCTCAAGGTGGGAGCTTTAAGGCTCTGAGCCCTCAGGGACCCAGCCACACCCACAAAGTCAAGGCAGGGACCCAAGAGGAGCTATATGAAGCTTCTGTCCCTCCAACACTCTCCCGGGCGTAGTAGCTAGAAGATAGCAAATAAGTCTTTATTTGTCAGCCCATCCTCCTGTCACACCTGTGTAGTGGGCTGGCTTCCCTGAGCACCCGAGGCTGTGGGAAGAAGTGGGATAAGGCCGCAAGCCTCCTCTGACCCCTGCTGCAGCCCCCAGCCCACCAGTTACGTCAGCAATGCCTGGCGCAGCATCTGCTTCTTCTGGGGTGTGAGGCGGGTGGGGAACTGGATTTCGAAGAGGATGAAGAGGTCCCCCTTCTTGGTGGGGTCCTCAGGCAACGGCATCCCCTCACCTGGCACCTTCTTGCAGTACTTAGGACTGAGAGAAGATGAAAGAGGAGAGTTGAGAGGGCACCTCAGAGCAGCATCTGGACAGAGCCCATGCCCGCCCTGCTCACATCACCTCAGGCATGGGGCAGTCCCTACAGCTTCCACCTTGGGCAGTAGCTTTCTTCAGCCAGAACTGGGGGGGAGGAGAGGAGGCTGGCTTGTTCCAGATAGTTTGCTCCCTGAGAACCCATTGATACTGAGTCTCTGGGAGTGTTTCCCATTTTAGAGATGGGAAACAAGTGAGTAGCCCCTGGCTTGGTGGGGAGTGCTGGGCTGCTGAGCAAAGCTTCCCATCCAGAGGGCCTCCTTGGAAAGGGCTCATTGGGGTTAACTCAGAACTCTAATGAGAGCTTTTGGAGGATGGAAGATGAAGGCAACAAGGATTGCCTAACACTGTGGGCCCCTAGCCCAGTGGTCGGCAAACTGCAGCTCACAAGCCACATGTGGCTCTTTGGCCCCTTGTGTGTGGCTCTTCCATAAAATACCACGTGCAGGCGCGAACGTACAGTGCGACTGAAACTTCGTGACCCATGCGCAGAAGTCAGCATTTTGTGGAAGAGCCACACTCAAGGGGCCAAAGAGCCGCATGTGGCTCGCAAGCCGCAGTTTGCCGACCACTGCTAGCCTCTAAAGGGGCTTTGTGAAAGTTAGCATAAGGCACCCCGTTGGCAGAGTGGAGACGGGATTTTAGTCCTCTCTCGCCCCCTTGTGCTTAGTGCAACCTCAACAACTGCACTAGGCCAACTTGTCTGATGCTACCCTCTAAGGCCCAAGCCAGCGCTTCTGCCTATGGAGGCCCAAGCAGATGGACTCACTGGATGATGTCATTGATGGGGATGTTGAGCAGCCGGTCATCTAGGGTCTTCACCTCCACGGTGCAGCAGGTCAGAGCCTAGGGGGCATTAGGGCCAAAGGCAGGAGTAGGGAAGGGCCCATGGCCATTCTGTTTAGAAGTCACTTTATAATCCTCTTTAGTACCAGGCCCCAAGCTGAGCCTCAAGGAGGGATAAAGGGATATCCAAGAACTAACAGGTGAGTGAGCCAGACAATTACCTGCCCTCAAGGAGTTCGGTCTGGTAGGCAAGACTGATGTTGATATGTGTTATGATAGAGGGAAGTAGAAGGGTCGGTGGGAGCCAAGGAGAGCCCCCCCAAAAACCATTCTGGAGTGAACAAAAGGGCTACACTGTGCTGATAGCAGTTGATGAGGGTTTTAAAGGGTGAGGAGGAGCTTACCAGTTAGACAAGGTGGGTAGATAGCACTTCAGGCAGAGGGGCCAGAATAAACAAGAGAATGAAGGTGTGAAAATGTACCAAATGGGCAGGAGCTCTAAGTGGCATGGTGGCTGGAGGGCAGGGGATGAGATCAGCAGAGGCCAGATTGTAGACACTCCTGTCTAATGCCATGCAAAGATGTTTAGACAGGAGTGTAGCACGGTCAGATGAGGAAACTGCTGGTGGAGTCAGGAAGGCCACCAAAGAGACTGCTGCTCAGACCCAGATCGGGGAGATGAACAGAAGTGGACCAAGTCGAGAGGGACTTGGAGGTGGAATTGACGGGACTTAGTGACTGCCTGCAGGCGGGTGGGGGAGGAGAAGCAGTCTAGGCTGGTGCCGTTTCTTGCTTGGGTTGTAGGGGTGGGGAGGGGACACTCATGCTCAGGAGGGACGCTGGCCACAAAGATTCCGTGTGGCGCTCACCACACTCTGAAGGCCTGCTTGCCTCGGGGCCTCCCATCGGGCAGGAGGAGCCCACTCTGATCCACCCACCCCCGAATGTTCCACTTTAGCCACTCACCTTGCCCAAGGGGATGGAGTTCACAAAAATGAGGTTGTCATTCTCCCTGCGGAAGCGAGGGTGTAGCTTCTCCTTTACGATGAAGATGATGTCTGCTGGGATGATGTTGGGGCCCTGGGCAGAGGGGGCCAAGGGAGGACAGGACTAATTGGCATGTGACCTTGGCCAAGTTATTGACTCTACTGGTCTCCAGGTCTTCATCAAAACAATGAAATTAGACCATTGTTCTTTTAAATTTTTTTAATTTTTATTTTTGTTAGTCCTCACTTGAGGATATTTTCCCATTGATTTTTTAAAATTTATTTTATTGATTTTTTTACAGAGAGGAAGGGAGAGGGATAGAGAGTTAGCAACACACAACCCTTACTGGGGATGTGCCTGCAACCAAGGTACATGCCCTTGACCAGAATCGAACCTGGGACCCTTCAGTCCGCAGGCTGACGCTCTATCCACTGAGCCAAACCAGTTAGGGCTTCCCATTGATTTTTAGAGAGAGTGGAAGGGAGGGGGAGACACACAGAGAGAGAAATATTGATGTGAGAGAGAGACATCGATTTTGGTTGCCTCCCGCACATGCCCTGACCAGGCCGGGGATCAAACCTTCAATTGAGGCACATACCCTTGACCAGAATCGAACCTGGGACCCTTCAGTCCTGGCTGATGCTCTGTCCACTGAACCAAACCGGCTAGGACTAGACTATTCTTGATGGGCCCTTACAGTTTGACTCCATAGCCTCTCCTCTGAGAAAATTTCCCTGGTGAATCTGTGCTCCCAACCCATTCTTTCTCCTCTACTGAGCATGCCCAAATAGATGCGCTCAGCTGAAGGGAGACAGGTTTCTTAGATGGTGGGTGGAACACTGAGCTGGGTGTTGTATAAAGTCTCTGTCCTGCCAAACTTCACCAAGTCACCAAAATCCTACTGAGGTCTCTTTTGCGCCCTGGGACAGAGAAATCAGACCTGCCCCTACCCCCAAGAGCTCCAGTCTAGAATGAATCCTCAGCATGTTCAACACTGATAAAGGGAACCCAAGGGCAGGAGCTCAGGGAGGTGCTGACCCAAGTGGGAAGGTTGCCCAGCGGGGAACATTAGAGTTGGGTCTAGAAGAGATTTTTTTGGAAGTAAATGTTTTATAGGTGAGAAAGGGAGCGAGAAGTACCAGCACAGAAGTTAATCTCCCTCAGCTCTGAAGACACCATTCACTGCCTTGGACAATTTATATTTTTATTTAAATAAGTATTTAAAATTATTAATAAGTGCTTCCTGAGTAGTTCCTATAGTTGGATTTTACTCAGAGAAACACTGAAGAAATTCAAGCACTAGAGTTAGGACTGGGTTCTCTTTTCAGCTCTTGTGCTCTTGCCTTGGACAAGGGCCTCCCTCTCTGGGCCCAGTTTCCCACTGCAAAATGGAGAGAAGCCCTAAGCTGCCCACTGACGGGTGTTGTGAGGCTCTGTCCCATGGAAGGGACATTAGGGATCATCTCACCCACTCTGCAGACGGCTCTCCCTGCCAGACCAGGGTTCACAGGAGCAGAAAAAAGTATTGCCTCCCTGCCCCCCACCCTGTCTTCCCACCACCTGAGCCCAGGTAACTGCTCCTGGGACTGACCTTAATCAGCTTCCTTCCCTCTCACCTGGTCACCTTCCTTCTCAAAGGTTTTCCGTGTGCCTTGCCTCCAACCAGGCTTCACATCAATTGTGAGGATCTTGTCCTTGATGGTAGAGGAATACCCATCCTCGTTCAGCACCTGCAGTGGGATGGTGGGAGGAGAATTGGTCAGGATTTCCCAAGGTGAAAGAAATGCCGAAGGATCTGTGCTGGAGCTCAATCCTCTAGCAATGGGGAGAACCTGCCTTGAGCCATTGCCACTCCCACCCCATTCCATCAGAACAGGAACTTAGGATTCCAGGATGGCGGGCATTTATGGGCCCAGGACCTCAGATGCCAAGCAGTCACCATGAGTGGATCAAACCACTCCAGCCCTAGAAATCATGTGGCCCTGGTCACTAACAGATGCACAGTGAACATGTACTTAACTCCTCTCTCCCACCCCAGAGGATGACACAGAGCTCAGCATATCTGAGCATCAGCTGAAGCATTCCCCTCTGTCACCCATCCATTCCCCAATTGCATGCCCAAATGGTGCCATCTGTGGAAAGCATGACCACAATTGGCATCTACTCTGCTGGGAAAAGTTTGAGGGGACTTTGTTCCTGTGCTAGCACAGGGCTGGGCCAAGAATTCCTCAACCAGTCCCCTCAGGGACTGCCTCCCAGCCCACCCTTAATTCCCACACTGCTCTTTCTTACTCATGGATCATACCCCAGATGAAATCCTAAGGATATGGTCTGGTAACATCCAGAGGGCAGAAGTCACAGTTTTAGCTCCTCCCTTTCAGAGCCCATGAGGATGTGGCTGAACTGAGAAGGGAAAGATCCTCTCCCAATGAGAAATGTTGCAGAGGGAATTCCTACACGAAGAAAGAGCCAGGCCTCACTTATCCCTTCCAAACTCCAGATTCTAGTATTCTGCAATCCTAGGTCTCCGAGTCTAAGACTGCAGAATTCCATCAGAGACCAACCTGAGGTCTCTAGAGTCAGGGTGACTGTTAGGGTTGGAGGGGACAGTTGATGGCTCCCTGTAGGAACAAGCCAAGTACTCACCCTGCGGGAGATCTTGATTTTCTTGGTGCAGCCAAAAAATAAGTCCTCCAGGGATAGGTAGAGGTCTCTTTCTATTGGGAGGTCCTGTTTCTTGACCCCTCGGCCCCGGAGCCCCCCAAAGTTCAAATCCACCTCTTGTCCTTCTGCATCAAAAAACTCTGCAGGAGGTGGGGAGAGGAGTAAGAGGAATTGTGTCTAGAGACTTGGGTTGATAGAACTTCCCCTACCCCTCCTCTTCAGTTCCCAAGGAAATCGGGTGCTGGTAATACTTAGCATCCGATTTCCATCTTGAAGACCAGACTTGGGCCAAGAAACTGTCCTCAATTGCAGATCCAATGATTGTCATCCCTTATCACTCCCCATTGCTTCATCCCCCACTTTGGACACCCCCCCTTTCCTGACTTCCTTTCCCCACAACTGTGAGCAATGGACTGTTATAGCCACTTAATAGTGAGGAAGCTGAGGTTTCGGAGAGATGAAGAGATTTGCCCAGGATTACAGAGCTCATGAGTGGCAGCACATGGATTTGAAACAGGCCATCTGAATCCAAGTCTCTTGCTTTTCCCAGTCTTACATGGAGTTTATTATAAACTCAGGTGAAGGCAATGCACAGTGGGAGGGGTATCTGAGGTGAAGGGGCAGTAGGCTGTAGCCCACTTATCAGAGTAACATGGAAAAGAGGTAGGTGTGTGTGTGTGTGTGTGGGGAGGGTTAAGCGGGAAAAAAGGAGACATATGTAAAACTTTAGACAATAAATAATATTTTTTTAAAAAAAGAAAAGAGGTAGAGAGAACTTTTGAAATGCAGAAAGGCTATGGTATAGCCAGGAAGAAGGGGCTGGGTGAGCCAGGCAGTGAAAATCTACTCTCTTGAGTTGCAGAACTGGAGCCTGGAAGACAGGTTTGTAGGTTAACTCCTTGCAAGGTGATTCTGAGCCTCAGAAATCAACTCTTTGTCCGTCTGCCTGAGACCTGGGACCTATGATCATCCACCCATCCATCCATGGAGTCATCTGACCGACACACACACCTGTGCAATGAAATCTTATGCAGCCGTAGAAATGAATAAAGTAAATCTGTATATAATTTATAATAAGACAAGTGAAAAAACTGTACAATGTGGGCCCACTCTCTTAATAAAATAAAAGGTTTATGTAAAAATAAAACTATGCTCAGAAATGCATAGACAATCTCTGGAATAATACATAAAATGTTAACTATGAGTGGCTGCTTCTGGGAAAGGACTGGAAGGCTGTAATTTATTCTTCAATAAATTATTTCTTTACCACGGTACATATATATGTAAAAGAAAAAAAAACTACTCAAAGAAAAGCATCTTTACAGCTATGTCCAAGGCAAGGGGACAGGTAGAACCTCTTACCACCAAAGGGGTTGTTTCCTCCGAAGAACTCATGGAAAACCTTTTCAGCGTTGCCATGGAAGACGTAACCAGTTGCCCAAGGGGTCTCGGACCCAAACTCCAGAGGAATCCCGCCCTTCAGACCCTCTTCTCCAAACTTGTCATAGACGCTTCTCTTCACAGCTGTGGATATATGCCATGTTGAGAAGGAGGCAGAGTCTTGGGGGCTAAGGTAGCTAGAAGGCTGAGAAGGAGGAGGATATGGGGAAGAACATAGGATGAAAGCATCCATATTTCTAGTTAGGGGTTTAATTTCGTTGTGGTGGATCTGGGTATGCCCTCCTCCAGAGAAGAGATGGGAAAGACTATGTTTTGCTGAGGAGGGGTGGGGATTGGAGTAGAAACAGGAAAACTAAGGGTCAGGCTATCCCTCTGGGATTTAGTTTAATCCATCGTAACTGCTATCTCATCTGTAAAGTAAAAATAATCCTAGAACCTCGACATTTCAGAATCTAATAATTCTAGAGCTCCCAAATTCTAGAGCTTTGAAACCCTAGGGCAGCCTTGGGCAAACTACGGCCCGTGGGCCGGATCCGGCGGTTTGAAATGAATAAAACTAAAAAAAAAAAAAAGACCGTACCCTTTTATGTAATGATGTTTACTTTGAATTTATATTAGTTCACACAAACACTCCATCCATGCTTTTGTTCCGGCCCTCCGGTCCAGTTTAAGAACCCATTGTGGCCCTCGAGTCAAAAAGTTTGCCCACCCCTGCCCTAGGGTCTAAATTCCTGAAAACTCCGGGCTGGAAAAACCTTAGTGATCGGTCCGTTCTCCTGCACAATATCCCTGAGTACAGTCTCCCGGACAAGTGCTTTGGGAAACCCATGTGGGCAATGCCCCAGGCAGGGGTGGGAAATCACTTTCTCCACTCTTCTGGTTTCCATAGGAGAAAAATGTCCTAATTACTGGCCTCTCTCTGCCCTTTTTAAATATA